TATGAAATGCGAGATAATACTCATAGAAATGTCATGATAATAATTAATTAAATTTTATATTTATAATTAATTGTTTAATTACTTGTATGTATAACTTTCAATGTCTTATCTCGTTTTATGAAATAGACAATAGAACATCGTAAATTACTGTACAAAGCAAGTTCTATCAAGATTATTACGTTCAATCTTGAATAGATGTCAAGTGTAGTGATCATATTGTAGGCAATGGCATGTAAAGGATAATTCATCGGAGTATGAAATACGTTGATTAATTGTATACTCCTCGAGTAGTTTAACAAACCAAGTCTTATATATTAGTGTTTCAGATATGAAATACATTATCAATTAAAGAAATACCGATGATCAATTCAAGGAGATTTATATATTAAATTTGATATTGATAAACTTTATTGTTGATCGATAAATTAAATTTATATAATTAGGAGGTATATAAATTAAATTTATAAAATTAAACTTCTGTTGATGTGTGTGTGTATATATATATATATATAATTTTAATTAATAAAATTGACCTCAAGAGGTGAGTTTATATTAAAATAAATTAATAAATACCGATCTTAAGAGACCCTTCGAGGTGGCCCAGTAGTTTGGGCTTGGGACTTCCACGTTGGATGTCTCAAGTTCGAAACCCCTTGCCAGCGAAAGTAAGGGGTTTGCCTTCTGGGATGAGCTAGTTGCACCGAGCTTGCCTAGTGCGGGTTACCTCTCCTATGTGGTTTGCGAGCTATTGTATAGGAGCGGGGGTTTTTACCCTGTGCGCACCCAAAGGGTAGCAGCGACGGGTTTTCCTTGTCATAAAAAAAAATACCAACCTTAAGAGGTCGGTATAGTTAAATTATTATTTTATTTTAATAATATCAACTTTACGATGTCGATATTTATTAAATATTTTTAAATATAAATAATTATTTTAAAAGATACCGACATTTCGTGGTCGGTATATTAACACTCCTTTTGATAAAAGAATGATAAAGCTCAAAACCCTAAAACCCTAAGTCATCTTTTTCTCTCCTAACCTCTCTCACTCCTCTCAACCCCGACCCGCCCCCGACCGGCGGTCACCCCCACCCATCCCCGACCGACGCTGTAGGTCGAGCTACCTCGATCAACAGCAACAACGCAGACCGGCGGCAGCAGCAGCGCGTGGCTGGCAGCTGCAATCTCCGGCAACAGCGCGTGTCTGGAAGCTGCAATCTCCGGCAATAGAGGGAGTATACATCTAGTGGTTTGGGCATAACTCCAAGGTATGCCTTTTTTTTTTCTTTATACCTCTGATGTTTCATGAGTTCATTTTGTCTCGTTTTTCCTAAAGATGATTTCTCCTGCAGTTGCAATATGGGTGAGGGAGGTATTGCTCTTGCTGAGGCCGTGCAATCAGGGAGGTTCAGCACCTGATATAGCCGTAAAGGTTTGTATTAAAATAGGATATCATGTCCCATATTGCTTTACTCTTATAGCCTGATGCTTCTATAATTAGAATCTCATTTATCCATCAACTATTACCAACTTCAATCAATTATTGGGTGGGTATCATCGGGTGTGCTAGATGAAAATTGTTTACTGTTTAATGTTTGTATGCACTGCTTGTGAAGCAAAAATGAAAAAAAAGAAATGGCTTAAGGAACAAATAGACTAGCATTTGTTTTCTTGAGCTTCCCTCAACACTCTCTTAGCTTTACTGTATTTCTATGTCCAATTCGTCACTTCAATGAACACATATCTCTAATCTTGATTTTGTGGTTTTGGGAATTTTATTTCGAGTAAAAATTGTGTTTTTTGTTTTCTTTTCTTTCCATTGAGTTTTTGATGATCAAGATCAGTTTTTGAAGTTTTTTTGGAGTTGGGTTTTGGTTTTTACTATGTGGGGTTTCTAATAATAATGTTTTTACAAGGTTATGATTTTTGTTTTTGAGTGGCTTGGTAGTTACCTTCAGTTTAACTCTTTGTTTTGATGGATTTTTATGAAGTTGTGGGTGTCATGGTTGACTTGTAATCATTGTTTTTCCTTAGATGAAAATTGTTTACTGTTTAATGTTTGTATGCACTGCTTGTGAAGCAAAAATGAAAAAAAAGAAATGGCTCAAGGAACAAATAGACTAGCATTTGTTTTCTTGAGTTTCTCTCTTCCAATTTTGTTTGAGTGAAATGATAGATTTTGCTGGCCTTGACCAATTTGGGATTTATTGAATCTTTTTCTAGGGTTGAAAGGGTTGATTTTGCGGGCTAGGCAACTAAGGAAGCTCAACATCTAAAAAAGTTGATACAAGCTTCTTTCATCAAAGTAGGAGATAAGGTTTGGTATTTCTAAATTTTATAATGTGTTTATGTCCATCTAGTATTGATACTTAGCTTTAATTTTGTGATAATTTGTTTGTGTCCATCGAGTGTTTGTTTAGCATAAGTACCAACACTAGTTGATGACAAAATTGATTTTATTGCAAGATCGATTTGTGTCCATCTACTGTTGACACTTTTCTTTAATTTAGAAATAATATATTTGTTAAGTATAAATACCAGCACTAGTTGATCCTGTTGATAACAAAATTGATTTTCTTGCAAGATCGATTTGTGTCCATCTAGTGTTGACACTTAACTTTAAATTTAGGAATAATGTGTTTTTAAGAATAATTACCAACACTAGTTGATCCTATTGATGACAAAATTGATTTTCTTGCAAGATCGATTTGTGTCCATCTAGTGTTGACACTTAACTTTAAATTTAGGAATAATGTGTTTTTAAGAATAATTACCAACACTAGTTGATCCTATTGATGACAAAATTGATTTTCTTGCAAGATCGATTTGTGTCCATCTAGTGTTGACACTTGGCTTTAAATTTAGAAATAATATATTTGTTAAGCATAAGTACCAACACTAGTTGATGACAAAATTGATTTTATTGCAAGATCGATTTGTGTCCATCTACTGTTGACACTTTTCTTTAATTTAGAAATAATATATTTGTTAAGCATAAGTACCAACACTAGTTGATCCTATTGATGACAAAATTGATTTCTTGCAAGATCGATTTGTGTCCATCTAGTGTTGACACTTAACTTTAAATTTAGGAATAATGTGTTTTTAAGCATAAGTACCAACACTAGTTGATGACAAAATTGATTTTATTGCAAGATCGATTTGTGTCCATCTACTGTTGACACTTTTCTTTAATTTAGAAATAATATATTTGTTAAGTATAAATACCAGCACTAGTTGATCCTGTTGATAACAAAATTGATTTTCTTGCAAGATCGATTTGTGTCCATCTAGTGTTGACACTTAACTTTAAATTTAGGAATAATGTGTTTTTAAGAATAATTACCAACACTAGTTGATCCTATTGATGACAAAATTGATTTTCTTGCAAGATCGATTTGTGTCCATATAGTGTTGACACTTAGATTCAATTAATGACAAGTAGTTCATGAGTCATGGCAAAGAATCCTTAGAATTGCCGAGTTTGATACATAGAAAAGAGTTCAATCTCACAAGTTACAGTTCAATGTAAGCCTCTTACATCGATTTTTAAGTAATGTAGGTAGATATTCTGAAACATGTGAACACACATTCCCTTTATTGATCATTGAATTTGCAGAAACTGAGTGTTGTGACTGGAAATGGAGAAAAAGAGTTTAGGGACAATATTACCACTTCTCTGAGATATAACTTGTATGTTTAGTTGGTGGATTTTTAGCTATTCATATTTGAGTATACTTTATATTTTAGTAGTTTTAACGTTTGTTCGACATTGTGAAAGACTATTTGGATTAAGCCTTATGTTATGATAACTTTGTTTGATATATTTGTTCGACATTGTGACATTATTTTGTACGTACTTTGTTTCAATCTTTATATTTAATTGATATAGATGGTAGATAAAGGAAAGGGTAAATAAAAAAAATTCGCTAATCCAAAAAAGAAATTTAAGGCCAATGCTATGAGAAGGCCCACTGGGGTCGTGATATCTGATGAGCCCTCTCAAGTTAATATTTCAAAACGAGCCTCAGTTTCAACTACTCACTCGGCACACCAGTCACATAATGCCTCTACTCATGCGGCTCCACAATCTGGTTATACTATATCTACACCCACTGTGGTACCTAGTTTGGGTTACCAAACATTGTAGGGCTATTCACATCTTGGTCGTGGGTCTACCATACCATCATCTAGTGCTAGTCATTGCAATAGTTTGAATACTAATAGTGGATCAATTGGACTTTCCAACCTGTATCTTGAATCCAATGGCTCAGAGCCTAATACTCCCACCACCCAGCACTCAGATGCAAATGGTCCTCAGCCAGGCGATAGAGACAATTTTCGGAGACTCGTCATCGAGCCATTAGGATACAAGTATGTTTTAATTATGTTTCATCTTTCATTTATCTATTTATATTTTAATTAATTGATTATTTTTGTTTACTCTACTTTGTCAATGAACTCGTATTTCAGCTTACGTCCGGATGTGGGTATGGCAAAGATTATTTTAAAGTGCATCGGAACTCATTATAATGGTTTGTACCCGAATTGGAGTTCGATTCCACTTAACACCCAAGGGCAGATGTTCAAACGAATTTTAAGGTAAGAATGTATATCAATTAAATTTACATCATATACATTTAAATTCGTTATGCATTTGAACAATAAATATTTAGTTATTTTTTATTACAAAAATATTATGTATGGGCTCCCGAACATGAGGAAGACGTTCAAGTGAACTTCAAGCTTAAAGCTTCAAAGTTGCTTTCTAGCACATTTTGTGACTGTCGGAGAGAAAACAGAATTCCCAAGTTTATGTTACCGGATCGATGGGCTCTGTTACTGGAACATTGGAGTACTGATGAAAAATTTAAAAAGAGGAGTGAGATTGGGAAGATGGCTCGCGCATCAGAAAAGGAAGACTCTTTGCACACTGGTGGAGCTATTAGCCAGGTTACTAGGAAGGAAAGAATGGTATACTTTCTTAATTTAGTAAAATAATTTTTTTCTTTTTTGATAAGTAGTTTTTGGAGATTAATGAGATCAGATCAAATTCTATATATGTTATTTGTAGGAAAAAGAGTTGGGTAGGCCGGTAGCTGTAGCAGAGATGTTCAAGGTTACTCACGTCAAGAAGAGTACGAACCCCACATAAGAAGAAAGATGGATTGAGCCATGTGCTCAAGAGACATATGTAAGAACTCCATTCAAACTATTTTTTTTTCTTTTCCTTGTATATATTACATTCTTATTCGTAGAGTTTTTTGTTTAAATTACATGATAGGTATATACGAATATCTCAGGAATATCGTAGTACCCTACCTCTTGAGAGTCAGGACAGACCATTTACACAAGAAGAAAATGAGAATCTTTGGAAACAGAATGTTGGTGAACCGATTAGAGGTTCAGTCTACGGCTATCCCGAAAAGGCGTATCAGAAGAAGAAGTCTTGGTATTGTGGTTCATCATCCTCAAGTTTCGATGGCGGGGATAGAGAGACAATATCTGCAATGGAGAGTAAGATAGCTTATCTCAATTCCGAGCTTGTTGGTGTAGCCGAAAGAGAGAAGATGAGAGAAGAAAGAGAGAAGAAGAGAGAAGAGGAGATTGCGGCAGCAAAGGAGGTAGAGAACACAAGGTATGCAGCACTTTAGGCCCAACTAACTTTTCTTTTTGAATCAGGAAATATTCTTCCTCCATGTCCGGCCAGCAGTGCTGGATCTGATCAGGAGGCCGGTGAAGAGAATGATAAGTCTGATAAGGAGAGTGAGGGTGATGAGGAGTAGTTGTATCTATTTGACATTTTAAACTTCTATATTTTTGAAATTGTTTGATCGTATTTTAGTTTATTTTGAAGTTGGATGAAGTTTATTTTGAAATAGTTTAATGTATATGTTGAAAATATTATGTTGTTTTGGTTGGATGAAATTTATTTGGTGTTTTGGTATAAATATGTAGGTGGGCAACTAAAATAACAGCAATTTGCTGCCAGTTTTGTAGCAGAAAATCGACCTCCGGAGGTTAAATTTCAAAAATAAAAAAATAAAATACCGACATCCGGAGGTCAAAATTTCAAAAATAAAAAAAAAGAAAAATATCGACATCCGGAGGTCAGAATTTCAAAAATAAAAAATAAAAATACTGACCTCCGGAGGTCAGAATTCCAAAACTAGAAAGTAAAAATACCGAACTCCGGAGGTCAGAATTTCAAAAATACAAAAATAAAAATATCGACCTCCGGAGATTAGAATTTCAAAAATACAAAAATAAAAATACCGACCTCCGGAGGTCAGAATTTCAGAAATACAAACATAAAAATACCGACCTCCGGATGTCAGAATCTCAAAAATAAAAAAATAAGAATACCGACCTCCGGAGGTCAAAATCTCAAAAATAAAAATAAAATACCGACCTCCAGAGGTCGGAATTTAAAAGTTAAGAATTTTTTTTAACAAATACCGACATCCGAATGTCGATATTCCAAAATATGAGAAATAAATTTTCTGACCTCAGGAAGTCGGAAATAATAAAAAAATAAAAAAAACAAATATATAAAACTGACCTAAAATAATGAATTTTTTGACTTAAAATAAAAACTGACCTCGAGAGGTAAGTAAATACCGACCTCCAGAGGTCGGTATTGAATAGCGACCAAGCTTTTTCCGACCTAAGCTGGGATGTCGGTTTTAGGTCGGTATTTTAGGAAATACCGACCTCCGAAGGTTGATATTTGTAGGTACCGTATTCACTGTTTTTTTAGTAGTGTAATGTGGTATCAAATTTCACTTTGACTAGATTTTTTTAATATTTGGATAAAATAAAAAGATTATTCTGGTCCCTTAAGACCTTCACACAGACAAACTAATGAGTTGTAAATAGTATTTTTAACCGCAAACTCTTTTTGTGATTGTAAGAATCAATAAGCCTAACAAATTGAAAACATCTACTTGGGATTTATAAAATTAAAGGAAGGTGAAATGGTCTGATGGGCCCTTATACTTGTATACGTTTGTATTCTGAACCCTCCTACTTAACACTTTGTCAGCGAAACCCTTAAACTCATTAAAACACAATATTTTAAACCCTTTTCTCATCAGATCACTGCGCGTGTAATCCAACCTCTTATATTTGTAATTCCATGTCATTTTCCAATGACACGTAAGAAAATTTTTAAAAAAACTAAATATTTAAATTTTGAATAGCCATGTTCTTCAACCTCCATATATGCTCACAATTTAAGCACTAAATTCATGTCAAATAGATGAAATTTTTCTTTATTTGACTTGAAATTTCAACTAGAAGTTCATAAAAGCCACAATCACAAATTTGAATTAATTTTACAAATCTATAAGACTCATTTGTTGTTCTTCAAGTTTTCTCAAACTTATCAATGGAGTTTTCAATTTTTTCAATATCCACTATCACTCTTTACATTAATTCATATCATACCTTCTCTTTAATTCCAACACAAATAATGGT